CCCGGCACTATAACACTACCCACTCATTCTCTGCACACACACACACTGTTCCCAGTCCAGCTTTGTAAAGACCCCCGTGTCCTGCATGTCGCCTTGTAGACCCTCAACATCTGTCCAGCAGGAAGATGACGTCCTCTGTACAGACATTTGCACATCCTCGCAGTGTATTCTGTGACCGCCGACCAAACAATCACTCCAACCCCACCCCTTTCTCTTCAGCGACCGGGCCCCCCTCCCTCCCCCCCTCTCGGGTGCGACGGCGGGCCGACGAGTGCGGGTCGTGTGTTCCTACATGTTTGCTCTCAGGGCCCTCTGGGCTGCCCGGTCGGTGTGCGTCCACGCCTCAGCAGCCGGGGCGGCCACACCGTCCTCCAGAATGTGAAAAAAGGCTTTTTCGGGGGGGGGGGGGAGTGTGAATCATATGCAAGAATCTTTGGAGATCGGTGAGGTATGTTTGGAAACTGTTCTGCAGCGCGTGTGCGTGGAATCCCTGTTATGCAAACCACACACCCCTTAAATCAACTTATTTATGTCCCCCCTTTTTTCTAATTGTGAACATGAGCCCTTTCCCACAACCCGTGGGGGGGGGGGGGGGGTAAAACCTGGATGCAGCGTTAATAATCTGCTCCTCATGCTCTTAAAACAAAAACACACACCGAGCTTCGCGAGCAAACACGGGGAGCTGCGGATTCCCCTTTTTATTTGGACTTCAGTATTGTTGTTTTTTGTCTTTTCTATTCAGTAGTTCACTTTGTACGATAGCTCTTGTGTCATTTCTGCGTTACGACATGTTTTATCTGGTCTGGGAATGCCCTGTATAGGGAGCCTATAGCTCCCCATACAGTATCTAGTTTGTTTTTAGTTCACATGTTGCCTTAGAAGTTGCCTGCATTTTAAGTGCTTGTTTTATGTGACATGTAGTGGGGATAAAAGCAAAAAAAAAAAATAGATATATTTTTTATGTAATGGACAGTGAATGAAATTGTGAGCGAGAAGGATCGATGTCAGTAAGCTGATGATGTAAATGCGTCCCACCAGCTTTACATCCAAAACATGTACTCTAAAAAGAATGTGATTTTTGTTTTGTTTCTTTCATATCCCTCAAGTACTTTTTGCACAATCACTTTTTCTTTTTTTCGTCTTCTGGTCATGTACAAATTTTAATCTCTCATTGAAGCAATTCTGATTTTAAAAGGGCAAGACTTGACGAGTCTTACTTTTAAAATGTTTTACTGTACAGGACCTCCCTCCGTTCACAAAGAATGAATTTACCACGCGCACACCACACTGTTCATGAAGTGTTTCCTAGGCCATTGGGAACCGAGCTACAGTACACGACGGTGAGCAAGGCATTACGAAATAAACTGAATGGTGAAAAAGTTTCACTTCTTCCATGCGTGTGTGTTTGTGGCGGATGCATTCATTTGAAATCATGAGTCATGTTTCAAAGTTATGATTATTTTTTTTTTATCTTTAATTTGTAATTCCTAGAATTGTAATGTCTGTAGTAGGGATGCTCCCCCGGAACTCTGTTCTCAACGGGAACCGATAAAACAAGTAAATACCCGGAGTATCGTTAAGGTCCAGAGTTAAAGGTTCCGCTATCGGTACTTTAGAAGTTACGAAGTGAGATTCTCCGCACAAAGCGGTTAGTACAGCGTGAGACACGCAGCATGGCAGCGAGAAGAAGTGTGGCTACATTTTACTCCAGTAGATGCTGAGAACTCTCGTTGTCTCGCATGCATTAAAACCCTCACAAGAGAGGAAACACCAGCGATTTATCAAAACATTTGGGGAACACGCAGAACATAAATGTGCAGAAATGCACAGTTTTCTACCGTTTGTCGAGCAGCCGTCCGTCCTCGTCCACTGCAGGTAACGTTAGCGATGCCATCGGGAGTTTGGTAATAACATGCTAATGGATGAAAGCTAGTCGCTCAGCTAACTGTATTTTAAGGATTTTAATGAACTTTATTTAGCTAAAAATGTTTATTTTATATATTTATTGATTTATTTACATTTGTTGTTGGCATTGAAATTGTATAGTCTACAATACTGAGTTATTTCAACATTGCTGCTGTTGCTGCTCAAAATTTGTTTACATAACAATAATAAAGTAATGTCTTTCTTTCACAAAATAATCAAAAAGAGCCGATAAGAGTATCGAGAAGGAACCGAACCGATAAGCAGTATCCATAAGAGTAGGAGCCAGTAAAGTGTTTGTAGAACATAAGACAGGTTCTGACAGGTCTAGCCCGACGGTGGAGAACAAATAGGGTTTTTTTTGCCCGCCATCCTGGGTGAACGTTGTGTTGTTGTAATGGTGAAAAAAGTCAGGCTGTCTGGGGATTTATGGACAGTCTTTGTGGATTCTGGCGTGTTACACGATGAACGTGAGCATCGAATGTTCCATCAAAAGCAGAGAAGCGGAAGTTAGACTCCGTTATTTCACTAGACACGACTAAGCACGTCGATTAGCCTGTCTATGCAACACCTCGGTGGCTAAGTTTAGCCTTAGCCGCTACAGACGGCTAGTGGTTACTATTGGCCGACGCCACACGTGATGATAATAAAATAGCAGTTACTTTCACCGACTCTCAGCAGCAGTTGAATTTTGGTTGAATGTTCCTTATACTTGCCCTGCTATTATAATATTGCTATTTTAATAACCAATGACAAATTTAGATTGTATGGATACAGTCTTGGAGGTGAAATGCCCCCCCCCTATTTGTTCGGAGCATGTGGCCACATCTTCCACATTGCTTTACTTTTTAAGTTTAGCTTCAGACCGGTTGAAATGCTGACGCAGTTCACCTGCAGAGATGGGCCCCCACTGGAGACAGCTACGCAAACTCCATCTGCTAATGAAGACCATGAGGTACAGTTGAAAGTCCCGGGAAAAGCTAGTAAGTGTACTTTGAGTTGAGATTATACAGTTGTTTTTTTTTTGTTGTTTTTAAGGGTTTGACCGAAATAATCTGGACGCAAGGTTCACTTACTGGAGCTTTCGACTGCATCTTTTAGTTTTCCTCAGTGGGTGGAGTTTGCTCAGTTGTCATGGAGCTCTCTCTGTTGTTGTGGAACAAATCAACACGAAAAAGGCCAATAAATATAGTTTGGAACATAATTACTTTCGACTCTGGGCTTTTACAGACTGTGTTCATATTGTTCCCTGGCTGAACGCCACATTACCAACACCTCTTGGGGTCACATCGACAGTCATTTCAAATAGTCCGTTGTGTACAGATAGGTCCAATAAAGGGACATTTGCATGCTATTATAGATAATAGTGTGCTTTCAACTTTGTGTCAATAGTTTGTTTGGTTCTTTCCTGCTTCAATATGACAAGGCCCTACCTGTGAACAAATCCTGCTCCATAGAGAAGTATATCATTTTGTGATCCGTATCTTTAGGATAGTTTTTGATCAGATAAAACAATACATTTTGTTGACTAAATGTTCAGATACCCACATACTTTTGACTATTTAGCATACACCCCAAAGGCGGTAAGTACCCAATTAGGCGTGTGTCCTATTTGCCTTTGAGATGATTAAATGCGCCCACAAGGGTTAACAGCTAAAACCCAGAAACATAACACGTGCATCCGGAGGCCATGCAGTACAACTCTACCATGTCCCTGCCGCAGTGTCTCCGTCCAGCCAGCAGGTGGTGCTGAACGTCCAGTCTGTCATTAAGAGGAGCTGCGGAGCTGATTTTCTGCAGACAAAGAACCGCGCACCTTCAGCCTATCAATGGCTGGGATCAAAGTACATCTTTATTATGTCATGGCCGACCTACTTCATTGATTGTGCGAACAGCCGCTCCTTTGAATTCAGCTGATTTTGATGGAATAAAGCGACGGGTTCAGCTGCATAAGCAACCTTTTGATGGCAAAGGACCCTGAACGTGACCTGGTTGTCTGGTTTATTTCACAGTCGGAGAGCTCGGGCTTCTGGTTCACACGTCGGCCTTGGAAATCATCTCAGCGTTGGTGCTGACAAAGGCCCCTGTCTCCGTTAGCCGTCTGTGTTTTGAAGTCGATCGCTAAATGGGGAACAATGAGTCATTTCATTGTGGAGGAATGATGTCATCTTCCTTCTCCAGCCAGGTATTGTGCTTGTGCTCCTGCTCGCCCCTCGCTGAACTGGTGGAAGTGGAGGAGGAAGGCGTATTGCTGCCAGCCTCGTCCTGTGCTCTTTTGTTCTCAGAGGGACGCGCAAGCGTTGGGTCCCACTGTGGGCTGGTTATGGGAAATCAAGAGGGGGGGGGGGGGGGGGGGCTGTCCGTTAAGTGCGTGTGGCCCGAGGAAGGGAGGCTACTTTCTAAGACTTCTTAGAGCTCGCTTCTTTAAATTCCTGTATGTACAGTAGAGCTGGGTGATGCTTTTGAATTATTCCTAAACAATACCCAATAAGTACCAGAAATGCATCTTTTAAAAAAGACACTCTAAAATGTAACATAGTAAATTAAATCTGCTACTCTATGACCACATAATACACCCAGGTCATGTTTTTGATACTACAGATATCTTTTGTCCAGCACTGAAAAAGCCTTTCGGGATTCAACACCTGCTTTTAGTGCGTTTACTCAAAGGCACTTCAGCAGCACTGGTTCAAGCGCACGAATGACTCACTTTTGGCAGAAAGGGGGAAGTTGATGTTGCACTAGAGTGAGTGAGTGTGTGTGTGTGTGTGTGTGTGTGTGTGTGTGTGTGTGTGTGTGTGTGTGTGTGTGTTTTAGATTGTATCTATGGCATGGTAGCCATGGAAACTGGGTGACATAAATAGGCTAGCGCCGAGAGAGAGAGAGAGAGAGAGAGAGAGAGAGAGAGAGAGAGAGA